CATGCGATAGCGTGTACATGAAACTCATTACTTAACTACGTTATCTTTAATCTTCGTCGATCTTTAATATTTTACCTTTTTCTGTCTCTTTTATTCATATGATATACTTTTTTTTTTAAGATTAGAATTTACATACATTTTCAGTTTTTGTTGCAACATTTTTGTTATTAGCAAAATAATTTGTTAAATGTTTCGATGAAAAATATCGCGTTTTTGATTGAACGTTCCGTTATCAATTACACATGTATTTAAAATTCAAACAAAAAATTTTTTTGTTTTGATTAAAAAAATATTTTAACTAAATTAATTACTCTTGTGTGAAGAAGTCGATTCAAATTTTGATTTATCAGTGAAGAATCTTGCTAAAGTGTTTAAAGATTCTTATTTGCAATTGTACAATATAAAAATCTACAGTACGATACGAAAATTTGCAATTATTCTTCAAATCAAAGACTTTTAGTTGAATATATCGGAGCTGTTTTCCATTTATTTGGTTTTCGCCAATTGCACTGAGTCATGTTTGTAATGTCCACAAATCTTATGCGTTGCAATGTCACATTGGCATTTACCGCCGTGCAAACGGAGAAGGTTAAAGCTATGCACAATTTGCAACAGGTGCAATTTAATAACATGTAACGGCGGTTTTGTATCGTCCTCACTACTTTATATTTTACAAAGGTATTTTACAGCGCTTTGATAAGAATACACGCTAATCGATTTATTCCAGTACGATTTATTCCGTTCTGAGAAAATTCACATTCATAAAATGCATATTTATTTATAATGTCTTTGGAAAATTGACTTGATTATAAGCCAACCCTTTTTTTCGTGTTTATCGCTTTATAATGACTTTGATTCCGAATGATAAAAAACTTTTTTTATTTGCAGAAATAAAGTTGATAATAACGGAGAATACGAAACTCCATGTCGATTAGAATTCTCGTTGAATTAAATTGAAAAAGTAGTGTTTGAAATGAAGAAGTGGAAACGTTGTTTTATAGAAAAACACTTTTGTGATAATTTGATCTGAATGGTATTTTACTGTAAAACATCGCTAACATTAAACTGTATTGATAGCGAGATTTGGTTAAAAATCTCTCTTGTGATTATATATATCCATGTTATTATTCGTGAATCGTCGATTTATAAGTGTTAGATGATTGGACTTTGGCCATTCAAGCCACGCCGAAGCGGCAAGGCGGAGGTGATGTTAGGTGAGTTTTTTCAGTCCTTCAATTCGAAAGTTGGAAATCCTTTTTGAGGTTTTTAAATGTTTAGGCAATTTTAAATAATTGGCGAATCTAAGATTGGACAAAGTTTAACAAATTAAAGTTTACGAGATTTAATTACAAGTCGAGTATGCGATTAAAGCCTTTTGCATCTAGATAGATTACCTGGAATCTATAAAACTTTCTGAATTCTATTCTCGAATCTCAGGCGTTTGCCTTTGATTCTCTGAATAACTTGAGAAACTTGAGAAGTTATTAAATCATAATAATCGGATTATGTAGATTGCGCGCATAGTTTAATTGCTTTTACAGTTTAATTTATTTACTTTGCACCCAAACCCAATATTAAACCCAATATTTGATATTATAAGGCAAATCTTCTCACGTAATATTAATCTTTATAATTTTTTCAAAGACTTAACCTTACTAGTATTACATTTAATTTTTTTATTAGTATTAATATTTTTAACGCAACACACACACACATCGTTACAACTAGATATAAGTGAAAAGCAAAAATTTATTTAAAATTTTTTAGATTTAAATTTCTCATTTCAAAATTATGACGTCATAGACAGCGTACTTCATAGATCCGGACTGCATTTAGTGAAATAAAAGAAAAAACTACGGGGAATATTCCCCTTTCTTAGGGTCATTTTTTTTTTTATTCGAAATATTTAATACTCGAGGGATCGCCGCCGAAAGCGCGAGGCGGCGCCGTTTGCAGAGGCAAGGACGTGGGGAAAACGTGATGAAAACGGCGGTGACGGCGGGTGCAATGACTGTGCGGCGCGCTGACCCGAAGCCGAGAGTCATTCTCCCTTTCCGTTTTCTTCCGTGAGAAGCCACCGTGTGGCTTCGGAGCACGCACACGTGCGTTGAAACGCGCGTAGGAAACGCGCGGTGGTGCTGTAACGCGAGAAAAATGCACGATCGCTATCGAGCCCATCATACTAATTCGACGATTTACCGCGAAGCTTCTCATGTGCGATTATTATACGCCACGCATCTTTAAATCAACGCTCGGATCTGAACGGATCTGCTCGGACGACGAAAGAAGAAGCCCTTCTTTTATTCCCTTCTTTCCTCCCACCGCTCTCGCATCCTTCGGGATTTCCCAAGAAATATGAAAGAACCGATGAAATATGCCGATACCCTTCATCGCGCCTATTTATTTTATTGTCGAACAAATTATTTATTTATGAATTTCTTTATTTTGCTTCAGTTTATGAGAGAGAGAGAGAGAGAGAGAGAGAGAGAGAGAGAGAGAGAGAGTATTAT